AATAAGTTAAAAGCCACTGAATAACGGCTATTTTTTGTGTCAGGGAAACACATGACCGATTACACCAGCATTTGTAAAATTAAATTTAGCCTTTTTCTACATATGTAGCATTTCCATACCTGCTACATCTCCAAGTACCATGAAACAATATTTGGCCACATGACAAAAAAATATTTACCATTCACAGTTTCAGAAACAAAAAGATGTTTTCTGCCCTTCTATAAAACTTATTTTTTCATTTAAATCACTGTTACTTAAAATGATACAGGAAAAAGACTCCTGTTCTCCTCTCCTTTTTGCACCAAAACCAGGACTTTTGCTTAATAATGCAACAGTCTGTATTTCGACTTCAAATCACTGTGAGAAGCTTGAACATACCTGGGTAATAATCCTACCAAGGGACAAAGACAACAGCTTAAATTGTGATAAACTGTATCCGAAGCTACCACAAATGCAAAGAGTGAGAAAACAGCAATGTACGGAATTCTGACTCTATTAAAAGTAAGCAAAAGGTCAGTACCCGGCAGCAGGCTTTTTAGAGATGTGACCCAGAATGACTTCAGTGCAACCCCAGCTAACCTTCACTTATTCCCAGTATAGCACAGCACTTCAATGTAAACTGCATTGTAATTGCATGGAGCAACATCACAAGCTGCTCAGTTTGCTGGGTTTTCTCCCCTCTTTTAACTATCTCACCAACCTTGAACTGAGAGCTGTAAAACGACAGGTTATCTGTTAAAAAAATACCCATCAACAACAGACTATCAGGCTTCATTGTCCTGTCTTTCCCCTAAACTGATCTCTTCTGGAGTAAGAAGAGGCAAGTCTGATTTCCAACACAAGTTTAATTTCTATGCAAATTTAGACCCTTGTTCACGTGACCAGAAGAAATATCTCACAGGTTTAAACAAGAGAAAGCTGACAGATAAGTCTCTAGTTTTCATATACTAAAAAGCTAATGACAACCAAGCCATAAGAATCAGGCAATCAGCTGTTAATTATAATAAAGGCACTGTCTTATGTAAAGGTTTTTCTGTTTAGCAGTCTGCTGCTGCTTGTCTGTTCCAAATGTTGTCCACGTATGACCTTCCTGCGTCAGCAAATATAAGTAGTTTTCTGACCTGCATACTCTTAAGCTTTTAATATCTAGCTGGTCACAAATGCATTAATAAACTTGGTCCCTTTACAACTAGGG